AATCTATTATAATTGTTTTGTTTTGTTTTTTTAATTTAATTACTTTACTACATCCTTTATCTTTGTTAACATGTAATTAAAAAAATGATTTAAAATGAACTTATTAAATGCATTTGGGCTTATGATTTGGGTGATGAGTGTGGCAAATCAAATTTAATATTTTATTATCTTAATAATTTTTAAAAAATATTTTAAATTTTTTTATGTTAAATTATATTTTAACCAATTATTTATGTTATTTTTAAATTCACTAAGTTATCTATGTCACATTAAATTAATTCTTACATGATATAATTTAAAATTTGAGTTAATTAGAATATAAGATTTTAAATTTTACTTAACTCTCAATATAAATTTCAAACAAATTAAATTTTCATAACACAATAAATTGTTCCTATATAGAATACCTTAAAAAGCCTAGTTCTTTTGGCTTTAAATGATTTTTTACAATAACAACAGAGATGTGGTTCAAATCTTTAACACAACAATATCCAAAATAAAATGATACCTGAAATTAATAAATGTAATTTTTTCTCATAAAAGTATCTTATTTCTAGCAAGATATATAACTTTATGACTATACATAAAAATCATATCTTAATTTATGGACATGCATAATCTTCCTTATCATTAATCATAAAATACATGGGCTAATAAATATAGATATTTTTCTCTAATTTCTATTTTAGAAATGTAGTGTTGACATCAAGCTTACACCAAATCTTGCATGGTAGCAAATGACAAAAAATACGAAGATAGACTCATCAAAACTAGCCCTAGTAACGACAAGAAAATATGAAGGGTCACCACCACCCCTCTATCCTATGTAAAAGATAATTCATACAAAACCAAATTAATACTACAAGATTAAGTAAAATTAGTCTACTTTGTTGGAGGTTCCTTGTTTTATCCATTTTCTTTGGCATACGATGTGATATTTTAGTAAAGTCTTTCTAAGGTTATGACAAACAAGAGACAAAGAACATAACAATAATAAGACCTGACCATTATCATCAATTTCAACTCTAATAGATAGTAGATTTTCATACACAAAATGTGTAGACAATGCTTTAGATAGATCTTGTTTGTCAAAAAGTTAGTCCCATGCAAGGTTAATCAACAAATCACATACGATCTTTTTTAGCCACTACTTCTCATTATACTACATCCTATCAAAAAAATTGGATAGGTATTTTATTGCACGATGAAAAGTGGTTTTTTAAAAATTATTTTTAAAATATTTTTTTATTTGTTTATTATTAAAAAAATTAATTAATCAAAAAAATTTAACTTAGTTTCTAAAAAACTATTTTTTTATTTTAAAAGAAAATTATTTTTCAGAAGTTGTAAAAAAAATAGTAATATCATATTATTTACTTATTATAACAGATTTGATCATCAAATTTTTTATTGGTATATATTTTTTTAATTTTTTTTTTCAATTTCACCACTTAGACTTTAATTTAATTTTATTTTTATATTAACTTTGATTCTTATTTTTTTTATTTTTTTTAATTGAAAATTTTTATCTATCAAACTTGGTTCTCATTCTTTTGATTGTTAATTATTTTATTTGAAACATTTTATGAATTTATTATTATTATTTTAATGTTTTTCATCTGTTAGATTTGATCTCCATTATTTTTATTTTTATTTATTTTATTTTATTTTATTTGAGATAATTTATGAAATTAGATTTTTTTATCATTCTCATTTTCATTCAACTTTTTAATTTGTAAGATTTGTTCTCATTATTTTAATAAATTTAAAAAACAATATTAATAAATTATTTTTTCAATTTATTTTCTATAACATAATCAAATACTAAAAAGTATTATTAATCATCGAAAATTTAGAAATTTCCGGTAAACAAATGAAGGATAAGGCTCTATCATCTTAATTACATTTCTTATGTTTCATCCATCATTACTAACAGTTTTTATTTTTATTTTTTATTTTTTATTTTTTATTTTGTATTTTTTTTCGGCGTCAAGAGCATGGTTTAACATGTGATGGGAAAGAACTACACTCATCTTATCTAGTTCATGGAGCAATATTAACGGGTACATAAAATTTTTCAATACTATGCGTTGATCAAGATATAATGATTTTTACAAATCAACCACAAATTACAAATATAGAGCTCCGCTACTAGATTTCTGGGGATAGAACATATACATATAAAGAATATCACAACAAATACATTAAAAACAATCACACAATGCTAGATATTCTATGTTGCTTAGTTACAGCTACATATATAGGAGATGAGAAGAAAATTTCACTATAATTAGTGTCATAATCTAATTTTTAAATTTTTTATTTTAATTTTAATTTTTATAAAATAGAAAGAAAATAAAAAAAATAAAAAAATTGCAATTTGAGTCCAGACAACACAAGTTTTTGATTATTAATCACAAAAGAATGGTAAATTGAAGGTTCAATTTTGCTATAAATTTGAAGAATTAATCAATTTAAAAACTTATTTAAATATGAAATTTATTTAATTAATAATATCAGGAGTTTAATTGATGAATTTGTATGTTTGGAGACTTAACTAAGCTTGTATATATTTAATTAAGGAAAATTGGAGGTTGATATGTTTATAGATTTAATTAAACTTAAACATAGTTTAATTAAAGAAATTAAGAGTTTAGTTGAAGAAATATTAAAATTTAGGGCTGATTTAAGTTATAATTGTAAGAAATTAAAATCCAAATATCAAAGTGAAAATGCTATAGGGAGTTGAGAACCAATATGAAAATGGCCGTTCCCCCGGAAAACGACGCCGTTTCAGAGTCACTGACGTCTCAAACAGGGGAAAGGCCGCCTGCGGGAAAAATTTGGCCAGGCGTGTACCACCCTCAGCCCAGGTTTTCACATAAACCGAATGGTTTACCATCCAGCCCCATTCCAGCCAACTTTCCTCCACCACCGCGAGGCACCAGTGAGCTGAGGAAACCGCTACCAACAGTCCAGTAATGGCCGGACTGTTGGTGTCCCGATCCAACAAGAACACAAAAACCCAAAGTCCTTATCTCCACTCAAGGATCAGTATCCTGGGGAGATAAGAATAAAATCCACACCAGAAACGCCTAGGGGGGGAGGAACACCGAACGAAAAACAGAGAGAAGCTCGAGAGGGACACCAACGAAAAAATTAGTGTTAGACTCTACCATGCATTTTCCCTCTACCGTACATATTCCTTTAAAAATTTAAATCTAACATGTATAATAGTTGAAATGAATATGATTATAAAGTAAATAACGTAATCAGCCAATGACGGGACATGGGCACCATACGCAAGTTCAAATGAAGTGCTTAAACAATGCTATCATATAGTATTTTATGGGATATTTGGACCACAAAAAACAAATTGATCTTAAAGAATAAAAAACTAGATTGAAATGCGTTGTTTCAACTTATTCTTCACCATCTTGCACTTTGATTCAAAGCTCGGAATAATAACTTTATATAAATAAAAAATAATTTCATTAGAGGTTTTTAGGCATTTTACCAAGGTATAATAACTGAAGTGTTATTGCTTATTTGAGCTTGTTAATAATGCTCATCTTCTTTCTAACTCCATTATTGTTTGTGAATTCCAGCTTACCATTTAAACTGGTTCATTATAAATATCTCGATTGTTTTTTCTTTCTTTTATTAAAAAACAAAAAAGTATACATAACAGAAATGCTAGGTGGTCCTGGGTTCTTACCTGAAATTGGTATCAACATTCTCATCCAAAGAATATGCATGATTATTGTCATGATATTTTAATGCTTTTTTTGACTATTTTCAGGGAACAGATGCTGTGGAGGGTCTGGCACTAGATGTGCAAGAATCTTTTAGCACAAAATCGTTTACCAAAATGAGACGTTTAAAATTACTCCAAATCAATGGAGCACATCTTGTGGGAAGCTACAGTCTTCTCCCCAAAGAGTTGATATGGCTTTGTTGGTTTCAATGCCCTCTGAAATCTTTGCCGTCTGATTTTCACTTAAACGACCTTGTTATACTTGATATGCAAAACAGTAACGTACGAGAACTTTGGAAGGGGACTAAGGTAAAATATATGCATTAGGCACTCAAAATTTTCCCTAACTAAATTTAATTTAGAGTTACATTTTTTCACATAGCTATTTTTCTCTTATTTTCTCATTGCCTTGACAGATTCTTAACAAGCTGAAAATCCTCAATCTCAGCTATTCCGAGTACCTTGCTAAAACGCCGAACTTCCGAGGACTCTCTAGTTTGGAGAGACTAATACTTGCAGGATGCAGGAGTTTGGTTGAGGTACATCAATCTATTGGAACTTTGAAGAGCCTTGTTTTGTTGAACTTGGAGGTGTGTGACAGCCTAAAGACTCTTCCAGAAAGCATGGGTAACTTAAAATCTCTTCAAACTCTGAACGTTGCTTGGTGCTCACAACTTGAGAAATTGCCAGAGAGTTTGGGTGACATAGAATCCTTAACAGAGTTGTTTACAAAGGGTACTGCGATTAAGCAACTTCCTCCATCAGCTAGATATTTGAAGAAACTGACAAAGTTATCATTTGGTGGATACAACAAAGTTTTCTACTCACATGATCTACCATCTAAATCTTGGTTTTCAATATTTTCATCGTGGCTTTCACCACAAAGCTGTTCGAGCTCCATAGATATGCTACCAGCTTCTTTCACTAGTTTCAGCTTATTGAAAGAACTAGATCTAAGTTATTCTGGTTTGTCTGAAGCTACAAGTTCCATTGATCTTGGGAGTTTGTCCTTTCTTGAAAATTTGAATTTGTCTGGACAAGAATTCTTCAATCTGCCTTCTAGCATTAGCCGCCTTTCTAAGCTTCAATTTTTGACGGTTGAGAGATGCTCGAATCTTCTATCAATCTCAGAGCTTCCATCAAGTTTACTGTTCTTGTCTATCTATGACTGCACATCCATTGAAAGAGTAACTGCACCACTTCAGCATGAAAGACTACCATTACTGAATGTAAAAGGGTGCCGAAATTTAATAGAGATTCAGGGCATGGAATGTGCGGGCAATAACTGGTCCATTTTGAACTTAAATGGCTGCAACAATTTATCTGAAAACTATAAGATGAGTCTTATTCAGGTTGTCTCTCTTTCTCTGTCTCTTCGCTTACTTGAACACAAACATTTAGCATGTAAATATGGTAATTTTTCGAACTCAAGTTTTAATTACTTTCCTTGAACCAATATGTAGGGATTATGCAAAGGTAAACATTATGACATTTGCCTAGCTGGTGGTGAGTTACCAGAATGGTTCGGCCATCGTGGAGAAGGATCTTCATTATCATTTCATTTTTCAGTTCCAGATGGTAATAAACTCCAAGGGCTGCTTCTTTGGGTTGTCTCGGCCTCCACCGATGAAGCCACTCGAGAAACACCATTTCTCCTGTTTGATATGTGTGTTGCTACTTTCAAAAATAAGAGCAATGGTATTGAATTGTTTGAGACGATGGCAGCAGTTACGTTTGACAGAACTATCAAGAAGCATTCTTGGATACAGCATATACCGTTGATTGGGTTAGAGGAATCACTGCAAGGTGTAGAGGAATTGGAACTGAATGTCAGAATAAGCTTATATGATGTTCGAAAATGTCGGGTAGAAAAATGTGGGGTACATTTGATAATGGAAAAGAATAAAGCAGATTCAGATCAGGAGATTGATATTCATGCTCTAGGCTCTGATGATCAGCTGTTGGAAAGTAGTTTGATAAGAGATTTGCAAAAATGGAAAATCACCAGTTGCACTAAATTTGGATAGCATACAACATAGAATATGCTTCTTCTTTTTTGTTTTTTTTTTTTCCATGTTTTTGGATCACAGGGTGCTGGATCTGTGGTATTGTTTTCTTGGCATTTCGGACTGATAAATGAGTGACACAAACTTGAAAGTCTATTTCAATGAGGACAATGGAACTGTATATTTATTATCACCATTAATTTATTAATAATTCCTTTGCTTGCTTCGGATCGTGATTCAAGTCGTTCTCTTCCATGTAGACGAATGCAGGGAAAGCTAAACCTAGTCCACCATCACTATCAACTGTCACACCCCGGCCGCCTAAAAAAAATTTATAATGGAATCTTTGGAAAAAATAGATTTTTGACATCTTGTTCTTTAATTAGGATATTCTTTATTTAAGGAATCACCACCTAATATTATGGTTACTAGGAACCCTAACTGGTCAATAGAGATTCTATGGTTCAAGACTGGTTACGTAAAAGGAAAGATATCATCACCCCTTAAACGTCCTACCTAAGGCAGCCTGCATTGCTACTCTTTATCTTTAATTGCTAATATTTTTTTTTGCTGGTTTATACTATGATTGTTTGTGCGTAATATTCCTGACTCTGGAGCCAGTGAATATTTAACTACGGATATTTCCAACTCTGGCGTTGGTAAATATTACGTAGGTGTCAAAGTAAATAAATTTAAATCATTAATTGCTAATATTTTTTTTTTGTTTATACTCTGATTGTTTATGTGTAATATTCCTGACTCTGGCGTCAGTGAATATTCGACTACGGATATTTCTAACTCTGGCGTTAGTAAATATTACGTAGGTATCAAAGTAAATAAATCTAAGTTATCACATTTTTTTTATTCCTGGCTCTGGCGTCAGTGAATAAAAAAAATAAAAAAAATTTATGCATATATATTTTTATGTAACTAAGTAAAAGAGAAATACAATACAATAAAATAAAATAAATTATTGCTTTTATTCCTGACTCTAGCGTCAGTGAATAAACTTATAGTTTTATTTTATTTTGTTTTATTTTTTTCTACTTTTATTTTTTTGTGAAATTAAACAAAGTTCAATGAAATAAATTTGAATCTTTATTCTAACCCTGGTTTTAATGAATAAAAACAAAAAAAATCAAATTTTTTTATTTTTTATTTATACATTCCGGATATTTTTTATTTTTTGTTTTTTTTATTTTTTCCTTGGGCTGGGCTGGACCCCTATTTTCTGGACAATCTTCTTTATGTTCTTGTTAGCCGCTTCAACAGCACCATTCATCTTTGGTCGGTAAGGGGATGAATTAGAATGCTTGATTTTCCATTTAGTGCATAATTCCACGATCATCTTCCCATTGAAGTTCTTGGCGTTATTAGTTACTATTCTTTCTGACAAACCATACCTACAAATTAGGTCTCTCTCAATGAAACGCTTGACCACTTTCTGCATCACATGAGCATATGAACAAGCCTCTACCCACTTTGTAAAATAATCAATTGCGACCAAGATAAATCGATGACCATTGCTAGCTTTTGGATTAATAGGCCCATTCACATCTATCCCCCACATTGCAAATGACCAAGGTGACACCATATTGAATAAGGGCAATGAAGGCGCCTTGATTTTGTCACTATACACCTGACATTTATGACATCTTCGGACAAATTCTATACAATCCTTCTCCATAGTCATCCAAAAATACCCTGCTCTTTGCATTTATCTCGGCATCATGTGTCCATTTGCATGGGTGGTGCAAATTCCTCCGTGTACTTCATACAAAGCTTTATTGGCTTTTGATCTGTTTAGGCATCTTAATAAAGTCCCATCAAATGCCCTTTTGTATAAGATTTCTCCATCTAGAAAGTATTCCATGGCCATTCTTCCCAATGTCTTCTTATCTGTCTTTGAAGCTTCAGAAGGATATTCTCGATATTGGATGAATCTTTTTATATCTGCATACCAAGGATTGCCATCAATTTCTTCTTCTATTAAATAAAAATGAGCAGGAGAACTTCTGATATCAATGCCTATAGGATGTACTCTGATACCACAATCGATTGTGGCCATAGAGGCCAGGGTTGCTAAAGCATCCGCAAACTGATTCTTATCCCTTCCTAAATGATTGAACTCTATCTCTTCAAACTTTTCAGCCAACTTGGAGAGATATTCTTGATATGGTTTCAATTTCTCATCTTTTGTCTACCATTCCCCCTTTGTCTGGCAGATTATCAACATGGAGTCTCCATATACCTCTAGTTTTTGTATCTTTAGTTCCAATGCAGCTTCTAATCCATGAATACAAGCCTCATATTCAGCTGTGTTGTTTGTGCAACTAAATTGCAGTTTAATAGAGATGGGATATTGTTTTCCTTCTGGAGAAATTATTACAGCACCAGCTCCATTACCAGACACATTCACTGCACCATCAAAGTACATGGTCCACCAATCACTTTCTATTACTAACACATCTTCATCAGGGAAGTCAAAATTTAATGGCTCATAGTCTTCAAGGGCGTTATTAGCTAAATGGTCTGCGATTGCACTTCCTTTCACGGATTTTCTTGTTTTGTAGATGATATCATATTCAGCCAACAATACTTGCCATCTAGCCAGCCTATTTGACATGTACGGTTTTTCAAAAATATATTTCAGAGGATCTATCTTTGAAATTAGCCAAGTGGTATAATATAGCATATACTGTCGAAGTCTTTTCGCACTCCATACCAAAGCACAACACAACTTCTCAATCATACTGTAATGAGATTCACACTCAGTGAACTTTTTGCTAAGGTAGTAGATGACTTGTTCTTTTCTTCTGGTCTCATCATGTTGGCCAAGCACACAACCCATTGCTGATTCAGTCACTGTTAAATATAAAATGAGAGGCTTTCCAGGCACAGGTGGTACCAATAGAGGTGGGTTTTGCAGATATTGTTTTATCTTATCAAATGCTTTTTGACAGTCTTCATTCCATACTCCAAGGTTTTTCTTTCGAAGTAATCGAAAGATTGGTTCACAAGTGACCGTTAGTTGTGAAATAAATCGAGCAATGTAATTTAAACACCCCAAAAAACCTCGAACTTCTTTCTCGATTTTAGGAGTTGACATAGCTTATATGGCCTTCACTTTATCAGGGTCTACTTCTATGCCATTATTGCTTACCATAAATCCCAATAACTTCCCCGACTTCACCCCAAATGTACACTTTGCAGGGTTCAACTTTAATTGATATTTTCTCAGCCTTTCAAATAATTTCTTCAGAGCTGGGATATGGTTTTCCTCATCTTTAGACTTAGCAATCATATCATCCACATATACCTCAATTTCTTTGTGCATCATGTCATGAAATAGTGTCACCATTGCTCTTTGATAAGTTGCCCCAGCATTTTTCAATCCAAATGGCATAACTTTATAGCAATATGTTCCCCACGGGGTGACAAATATTGTTTTCTTCTTGTCTTGCTCGACCATTTTAATCTGATTATACCCAGAGAAACCATCCATAAAAGAGTAAGTAGAACTCTTAGTAGCACTATCCACTAGCACATCTATATGGAGTAAAGGAAAATTATCCTTTGGGCTTGCCTTATTCAAGTCTCGGAAATCCATACATACCCTGATTTTGTTATCTTTCTTGGGTACTACTACGATATTGGACACCCATTGAGAATAATCGACTACTTCCAAGAATCCAGCGTCCTACTGTTTCATTATTTCTTCTTTCACTTTGATTAGTATATCTGGCCTTGTCCTCCTCAACTTTTGCTTAACTGGCTTACAACCTTCTATCAAAGGTAGTTTATGTACCACAATATCAGTATCCAGACCAAGCATATCAGCGTATGACCAGGCAAAAACATCAACATATTCTTGTAAAAGAGCAATCAATTTCCCTCTTTCGTCAGCAGAGACTAACTTCCTTATCTTCAACTCTCTTTTATTATCCTCGGTGCCCACATTTATCAGTTCTAATTCTTCTTTTACGGGCTTCCATGTGCGATTAGATTGTTCGACTAACCTTGCGAACTCATGGATATCCTCTTCACCAAACTCTTCCTTATCCATGGCAATTATATTTTCATCAAAGTTAAGCCAATTATCCACAGTGCAATGAGTTTATGAGGTGTATGACAATCTGCTTTCAGATTTCCTAAAAGCGGAAAGTGTTTCGGTTATAAGTATATACTTTTTGGGAAATTAAATAAAAAAACAGAGAAAAAGAAAAACATGATTGAAAGAAAGTATGCATGATCTTATTGAAATCTAAAGGATAGAAGGGCTCAACCACAAAACCTTATTGCCAATCTCTTAAGCCATGATGATTTGGCAAGGCACAATTATTCAAACACTACAAATAACCAAAACAACAAACAAGTAAACAAACATTACTTTTTGAAAATAATTGGAACTTCATGAATTTCCCAATTTGCTAAATCTTCTCCCTCGGCCAGTTTCCTCATGAATTCTGATGAGCCATCTTCCAAAATGCTAATAGTTAGTTGGGGAAACTGTTCGTGAGTACTATCTTCTTCCTTTAACTCTTGTTCACTGTCTTTTTCAAGATAATTGATAGTAACACCATTGAATTCCTTTCTTAGTCCTCCCTCGAAATCTTCAGTTTTTATCACATATACGGGTCTTGGGAACGTTACATGGATTGGTGGGATCTCCATTCGATCTTCATCTGGTTCTCTCCTTTCAATCCGGGCCATTCTCTTTTCTCTTCTAATTTCAACTGCTCTTTTGAAATCTGCTTTTCCAGGCTTAAACCCTAAGCCAAACCTTTGATCCGCGCACTTCATTTTTATCACATTAACCCTCTCTGGCATTCCGGTAGTGTGGTCATATTGAAATGGCAGTCCATGCTTTAAGAAGTATTTAGCAGCCATTTTTGCTGCTTCGGAAATTTCTGGTTTCCTTCGTATCGTATTTTCTAGTACCCATTCAGCATTTACAACTTCAAATGCATGCAAATTTCTGTCCTTACTTTCTTCAGTTTCTATGTAATGGATCGATACATTTTTCATTGTTGATAAAGTTTCCTCAGCCCTCACAGTCACCAAATTTCCATTGATGATAAACTTGACCCGTTGATGTAAAGAAGATGCGACAGCTCGGGCTGCATGGATCCAAGGTCTCCCAAGTAACATGTTATATGATGGATGAATATCCATTACTTGTAATGTGACTTGAAATGGTTGTGGGCCAATGATTAGTTCAACATCAATACTCCCAATGATTGGTCGAGGTGACCCATCATATGCCCTAGCAGTCATGGTACTTGGCTTCATATGAGAAGCATCCACTGGCATTTTATCAAGTACATGTCTTGGTAATACATTGAGAGTAGAACCATTATCTATAAGCACCTTATCAACCATACAATCCTTGCATTTTACCGTGATGTGCAACGGTTTATTATGACCGGTCCCTTCATGATCCAGCTCATCATCGGTAAAGTAAAGGTAGTTGGTGGCTTGAATCCTTCCCACCAAATGTTCTATGGAGTCTTATGTGATATCCTGAGGAACATATGCTTCATTAAGAACCTTCTGAAGCGCGTTCCTATGCAATTTTGAACTCAACATTAATAACAACAAAGAAATCCTAGCAGGTGTTTTCTTTAGCTGATCAACCATACTATATTCGTTGTGCTTCATCAATTTCATAAATTCATTAGCCTCTTCATCACTTACTGGCTTATTAACCTCATCGGTCTTTATCGATTCCAACATATCCTTTCATTTGACTTTTCTATGGTTTTCCAACTCTTCGGGAGTAAACATCTCCCACTCCGAGTGAGTCCTCCTATTTCAGCATGGAAAACAGGGCCAGGATTTATGCTGTGAAAGGAATAACCATAATTATAGGGTTGAGCATTAAAACTCCTGCTAACAGTATTTATAGGCTTAGTTAGGATCATTTTTGGTGGACCCTTTTCGGTTGGTATATATCTACAAACTTCCACCTTATTGTTACAACCAGTCATTGTTGCTACCAACTCATCTTCTTTGGGTTTCATTAATCTTAATACTCCCAACATCATCATATTTTCTATCTCCAAATGAAACTCCTCACACGAGTCGATATCATGCCCAAGCTGCTGATGATATTTACAATATTCATTCTCATTCCTTACAGCTTATACTTTGACTGGTGTCTTTAAATAGTCTGTTTACCTCAACATCCCATACAATCTATCCATAGTCACCCTTAAAGTTGATGTACTTCCCCTTCCTATCTCCAAATTATTAACTCCCCCATTTCCTGAAGCATGATTTGGTAGAGGGTTAGAATTCACATTTGGAGATTCATAAAAAAAAATCCACCCCGCTTTGATGAGCTGAAGGATTTTTCGTTTGAATGCAATACATCCATCAATGTCATGACCAACAGCACCAGCATGGTATTCACATTTTTTATCGGGTTTATACCAAAAAGGAAATGGTGGTTGTAAAGGTTATAATGGAATAGGTGCTACCTGACCAATACTAAGCAATCTTTGGTGCATTTCAATAAGAGACATGGGTAATGGTGGAAGTTGCACTTAATCTGTTGGAAAATTTCTTCTTGGGCGGTAGGCATTATTGGTTTGGTTGTTTATTGGGTTGTTTTGGGTGTTTGTAGGTGAAGAGAATTTTATATTGGATATAGAGGGGGTAGGTGGAATACTTCTGAAGCTATAATTATCTTGGTAGGTTTTCTTCCCTCTACTTTCCCTTTCAACATTGTGAATTTCTGTTTCTTTCCTCTTCCCACTAAAACCTCTTTTTTCAGTAGGATCCACGATCCTACCCG